CCCAGCTACTTGGGAGGCTGAGGCAAGAGAATTGCCTAAGCCTAGGAGTTGGAGGTTGCTGTGACCTGTGACACCACAGCACTCTATCAAGGGTGACATAGTAAGACTTTGTCTCAAAAAAAAAAAAAAAACTAGAGATAAGGATCTCACTCTTGTTCAGGCTAGTCTTGGATTCCTGAGCTCAAGCCTGGGCCTCCTAGAGTGCTAGGATTATATAGGTATGAGCCACCTTACCCAGCTTGGCATATACTTTCTATGAAAGTAGTTCCCATTCTTGATAGCAGCTCAAAACAGAAACAGTTAAACAATTTAATGTCTATATAATGAAAGTTAACATACATATTTAAGTCCAGCCTATACATATTTAAGTCACTCTAGGTGGAAAGGAATGTTAGAAAGCAGCAACCATGACAACTAACTTTATACTAAACCCAGCAATAAAGGAGAGAATCTTCCCAGCCTCCTTCTCCACTCTCTTCAACAGGATATGTGCAAGTTCCCAGCTGACTTACCAAGTGTCGAATTCCATTCCAGGTGTGATACATGAGAGGGAAGACAAGTGCAAACTTGGCTGTGTGGATCAATGCTGGCCCCAGACCCAAGGACTTCACCAATTCCAAATAAGACTCAAAGTTCCCAGGGAGCAACAGAGCCGATAAACCAAAAAGAGAGACCCCTGAAAAGAAAACCAAGTAGCCCATCACAGCTGCTCAAAAATTCAACTAATAACAATGCATAAAATTGGGTTCTAGAACAGCCCCTGGCATCCTATACAACTCTGAATCACTTTTAAATGGACATGATTTTTAACTCACATTCAAATTTATAGTGGGAAATAGGCCACTTCTGATATAATCTGAATGTGCCGTTTGTTTTAGCACGTTATTCCTCCTTTCAACATCATTCTCTAGAAAACCCTCAAAGGCCAGTTTAGAAATCACCCTTTGGGTAAATGATCTACATCATCATCTGAGTAAGAAAAAGTAAAAATTATACTCAGTTCAGGGAAAAGAGTAAGAAAAAAAAAATTTTTTAAAGACACAGTCTCACTCTGTGGCTCTGGGTAGAGTGATATGGTGTCATAGCTCACAACAACCTCAAACTCTTGGGCTCAACCAGTCCTCTAGCCTTGCCTCCCAAATACCTGGGACTACAGGTGCCCACCACAATGCCTGGATAGTTTTTCTATTTTTAGTAGAGACAGGGTCTCACTCTTGCTCAAGTTGGTCTTGAACTCCTGAGTTGAGGTGATCCAACCCACCTCCTTTTTAAGCTAGGATTAAAGGCATGAGCCACCACATCCAGCCAGAGAAAAAAACAATTTTTTTTTTTTTTTGAGACAGAGCCTCAAG